AATTATGCTTTTCTAATGTTCGGGGGGCCCGCAAAAATTTAGGTCAAGTCAAGTTAGATTCAGGTTTGGCCCGAATACCTAAATGCAAAAAAGATTTATTTTAAAAAAAGTTATATAAATATAGTGAATATTAATGAATTCTTTAACTTGTGAGTCATTTTGTACTAAAATGCCTTATATTTGAGTACACTATAATAGATATATAAAAAATAAAAATATTTATATAATCATATGTTTATATTTTTAATCTATAAAATATTTCAAAATAATATTTAAAATGCATTTTACTATTGATTTTTAAATTCTAAAATTCACATATTTTTTTAAAAAAGTTTGAGTCTTCCACATCATTTAAGTATTCCAAAAAATATATTTTATATTTTTATAAAATAAAAATAATTAATTTTAAAATAAAAATTTAATTTAATTTAATTTATAAGTGAAAAAATTGATCATCCAAACCCAGCTTAGCTTTTCAAGTTATTCAAAAAGTTTGGGGCTTATCTGGGCTAAACACAAATACGTCTGACCCATCCGAATTACTAGCTTTACTAATAAAATAAAAGATTATTCACGCATGAATGTTAAAATAATGAAAATTAACCTTCCATTCATCAATTCAACAATGACAATTAATCCTCTTAAAGGTGATTTATAAAGGAAAAAAAAAACCTTTGCAATATGTTCAAATGTTGTACAAGCAGATTGTTTTCTCTTAACCTGCACCCAAATGTCAAATTTATAGATTTTTTGCGAAGTAATATATTTAAAATTATAAAGCATTTATAGATTTTTAAGATTTAATTAATAATTTTTTTAAAATATCCTTAATAAGTATTATTAAAAATTTAAAACTAGAAGACAATCTATTAAATGAAGATAAATAAAAAACATATATTTTTAATTACATTAACTAATTTATTGAAAAGTACTTAGTTAAGTAAAAATTGCTTATAATTTTAAAAAGAGGGATATTAATTATTGATGCTTTTAATAACCTTTCTGATTTTTTTTAATACAAGAAGAAAATAAGAACAAATAGCTACAAAGTAAAAAAGGTAACGAACTAAGCTCCTCTAAATGAAGTGAAGACCAGGGGCAGCCTGAGAGCCCATACCACCAAAAGATCCACTTCAACATTATCCTCTTGGTAGATGAAACTAAGGTCCACAGTCCAATCACAACCAGTCATATTATGACAGTCAAGAATTAACTCCCAATTGTCATGCATATAATTATTCCCAACCCTGATTAGGTTCATAGCTTCTAATGAGTCATTTCTCAAGCTTACCTTCCTATGCCCTCTATCCCAAGTTCGACGAAGACCAATAAGACAAGCCCACAGTTCAGCTACAAGAGTCTCCGTCTGAGATTCCAAGCATGCTGAAAGCTTCCAGTTAAAGACTATATATGATTATCTTTAATAACATTCCCACAACTCGTACCTCCATTAAATAAAATGGAATAGACCTCATCTACTTGACATTAACCCAACCTTTCTGCATCATATGAGGATTTCCCACCTCCTTCATGACACCTCTAATATTAACTTGTTTTAGATTGAAGCATGCCTTATTGTAACCTACTACAATAGCCTTGGCTTTGGAATAAATTTGATGCCATACAGAATGAATATTTTCGAAGATTTTTTCATTTCTCTACTTCCACATAAGCCAACAAATTAATCACAACAAACAACTCCTTCCAATGTTGTTCTTCTCTCACCACTGCAGCATTAACATTCAAATAACACCAATCCACAAGTTGCAATTTAAAATCTCGGATGAAGACTTGGTTTGATTATAGGGGCCCACAGAGATTTAATTTCCTCACAATCCTGAAGGACATGCAGCAAATTTTCTACGTCATGATCACACCAAACACAAGAGGTCTCAATGCTCATACCTCTATTCATTCTAGCTTCATTCGTTAGAAGCTCATTATGAAAAGTTAACCAAAAGAAAGACTTACACCTTTGATGATTTTTAATTTTTAGACTCTATTAATTGGGTGAGAACAACCATTATCACCATTGTGCACATTATAAACAGATTTAAGCGAGAAATTACCATGCTTTTCTAGCTTTCATTGAACATATTCATTGCCATTAGTCCTAGCTAATAACTTCTCCATTCCTTGCATGATTTTCTCCCAACTATCTTGAATGCCCATCCATAAATGTGAACCAGGACAAGATCTATCGATATTAGGAATCAAGTTATCCCCATAGTTGTATTTACTTCAAACACCTCTCACCCGTAAAGAATCCTTATTGTTCATTAATCCTCATCCATCCTTCATCATAAAAACCCTGTTTTGGAGTCGTGCATGTCTAATGCCCAAGCCACCCCTCTTTTCTCTTTACACACCTCATTCCAAGCCATAAGATGAATTTTTTTTTTTCTCATTTGTTGATTCCCAAAGAAATCCTCTAGCACTTTTCTCAAGTTCATCACAAGTAATTAGAGGAATTGCACAAAGATTGCATAGGACAAAGAGAAATTTCCTGAACAACAAAAGTAACCAGTGCATGCCTACCAGTGAGAGAAAGAGCATTGGCCTTACAATTGTTCAACCTAGCTTTAGCCTTATCCACCACATACTGTTATGTATCTTTTTTCACCCATTGATGATGCAGAAATATGCTAGAAATCCAAGTTGCTCACTGGGCTGGGTTGAGTCACAGGAGTATGGTTAACATTATTAGAGAACAAAAAACCCACGTCTTACTCTGACTAACTTTCTGTCCAGAGGCCGAACAGAAAGTATCCAAACATCACTTAATAACCTCCACCTATTCCATAGGAGCTTTCAAAAAAAGAATAAGATCATCTCAGAGAAAAGATGAGAAGTGGGAGGTCCATCTTTATCACTTATTTTAATACATATTTAAAATATATTAAGATGCAAATTAAATTTAAAAGATTAAAAAAAACATTTCATCATTGTTTAGTGAACTTCCCACTCAAGGCGATAAACAAAAATTCGAGGTCTGTGTTCAAAAATTTTCATATTCATTCAATGAGAATTCATTTTCCCAATACATCCCTTTCCTCTTTCTCTCTCTCACGTGTTAGTATGAGGGGATATCAATAAGAGGCCATCAAAGTATGTCAGTGCTAGGGCCGTGAGAACGATACACATTCCTATGCATCACAACTTTGTTCTTGAGAGGAACTCCACTTACGAGCAAAAGGGTGACTCCAAGAGACGCAACGAAGGAGATGGTATTGTAAATTATAAAGTAGCGGAAGTCATATGGGTAAGGATAAGCAAGCATCGATTCCCCAGGGCACGCTACTATTTCATGACCATCATCAAAGTCTTTGGAGGATAAGCAATCGAGAGGTCCCTTGTTGTCACTGGAACTATTATTATTGGAATTAACTATACCTTGTTGAATGAAGCTTTCCGGAGGATTTATGGCAACTTGAAAGGTCATGGTTGCAATCACGCTCACCACAAGGCTTAAGTTCCCCCTCATCTCCTTTAACTAATCACCATTATGCTTAAACCACTTTCCCATGCACTCGAAAAATTTATTTGTCCAACACTTCTTCCTAGGTCTTCCAGTTGCTTCGCCAACAACCTCAGCTTTAGTTAGTGTCTGATGAGGATTTTCCATTCCTTTCCTTTCATCTCTTTTGAGGCAAGTGTTCATGAACATATATAATAAAAACTTTTATAATATTTGTAATTTTATTTTAATTAACAAACATAATACCAAATATAAAATTAATTTTTTAAATGGTACTTTCTAAACAAATTTTAAAAAATTACACTAGAGTATACTTTTAATCTTTTAACTTTATATAAGGTTTCAATTTGATTTCTTAATTTCATAAAGTATCTTTTCATTCTTCTAACTTCAATACACTTAGTTTTAAATGATTATTTTTTGCTCCAATCATTGCCATGTTATAAAAATTTAAATTAATATGTCAATATTTAAGAATATTTTGTCAGTAGATGATGATTGTGGTGGGTGTGGATGATGATCAGCCTCAAATCCTTCCTTTTTGGCCTTTGTCAACATGTGTAGTATTTTGCAGATTGTCAACTCTTTTATTGGAGCATGTTCTAGGATATCCTGGGCTGTAAAGCCCATCCGGTTCTTCAAGCTAAGCTTTCTGTTTCTCTTATTTCTGGAATTGATGGGCAGATAGCTTATCGCCTAATAAATAACAAACATGTAGTAATGTATCGGTATTTAAATTAAAGTTTATTTTCTGGCACCTTAAGTGTATAGATTAGACCTATATATTACCGGGATTTCAACAAGGAATCTAATCATAAATAACTACAGAATGTGATGTGTAAGAATTTTAATACGTTTTTCTGGTCTGCCAATTCAAACTTGCAATTTGCTGGATGAGTGTGCATCACATCAACCAACAAGCTGCAAGTTTTCATGGGTAAGAATTTTAATACGTTTTTAAGATCAATAAACAAACAGTTTGAGTATGAGATATATGAAAAGAGATAATATGATTGTTATCTTAATGACACGCTTTTTTAGTTTAAACCCTACCATACAACTTCTAAAACCGGAATATTTGTATGCTCAAATAGTTTTAAATTCGCAAACATCTGTCAGAAAGAAAAACTCTAAAAATGTGTCCCAACAAAAAGAAAACACTCTTCCAAAAAGAGTAGGAAAATTGAAACACTTGCGACAATTAATTCTTTTATCGTTTCCGATATACTTATTTATAACAGGGAAAGTGAATTAACAACACAAAGAAAAGATCTTTGAATTTGAATGTCCTTACGTACATACACATACAAACATATATGTGTGTGTAGTTCTAATTTATAAGGGGGGGAAACTTATTGACTCCTTGAGAAACTTTGCTAAGTAGCTTTGTTAATCATATTGCATCAAGTTCCCACGTACTACTTTATCTGGCAGAAGCGAGGTGAGTTGTGGTAGTGATTAAGATTCAAATCATTTTTATATAATCAAAAATAAAGTGCATGTAATTTTAAAGAAAATGCTATCAGAGGCACGCACATCGTCTCGTTGTTCGTTGTTCAGAGACATTAAGTAAGTTCTTCTTAATAGCTGGAACAACTAGAACATCATTCAAAGATAATTTGGTATTGTTACCACATCCAATAAAACCAGAGGAATGACCAGCAATACGTAAGCCAGAACCATTACCAACTGTAAGTATATCTGATCCTGTTGCATCATTATTTCGAGGATCATTTCCATTCAAGTGTGCCATATGATTAGATGCACCACTATCAACATACCAAGCAGGGTCTAGACCAGTCTCAGAGGTTGCATAATAAGCTGATGAGAGAGAGTGACTATTAGGAGCCATAAAATTCTTGTCAGATCGATATCAGCAATCTGCAACTGTATGGCCCGTTCTGGTGCAAAGGGCGCACCTAGGTTTATTGCCTCTAGAATGACGTCCTCTGCCGCGTCCACCTTGTCCTCGACCTTTCCAAGGAGGTCGTGACCCAGTATACGAAGACCCAGTGACCTGTGTAGAACTAAAGCTAGTGGAATTGTCAGAACGAAAACTCAAATTGGCAAATGCGTGACTTACAGTGGAAGCATTGGTGAGGTGCTCAAGATGCCATTCATAGGTGAGCAAATATGACTGCAAGTCGATCCAAGATAAATCAGGTTTATCAGCTAAATAAACCACCATAGGAGTATATTTGACGTCAAGATCTGCAAGAGTCTGCATAATGAGGTCTGACAGGGCCAGTGGATGTCCAGCGAGAGCCATATGATCTGAAAGAAGCTTCATCTTGCTTAAGTACTCCTCCATCTTGAGTGTACCTTTGCGCTAGCATTGAAACTCTGTCTTCATGAGAGTAATATGCGAACGTTGACTGCGCAGGTCAAGTCGGTCACTGCTTTCCATAACTGAGATGCCGTCTTACAATGAAGAACCTGCGAAGAAATATCAGGACTCATAGAACCAAGCAACCATCCATATACAAGATGATCAGTGGCATGCCAATCATCAAACGCTGGGTTCACAATGATATCATTGCCATCAGAAATAAACTCCGGTGGACTGGGTTTCATCCCATTAAGAAACCCATTGAGGCGATGACCTCGTAAAACAGATTGCACAAAATTGGGCCAAAGCATATAATTGGATCTATCCAACTTGATGGATCCAGCTTGGTTGAGACTGTTGAGAAGAGGTACTGTCTTTGTGTGAATAGAGGGAGACGACGACTCAGTGGCAATGGAAGGAATTATGGTGTGTCAAGAAGCCGAAGAAACATATGAACTATGAAGAGGAGTTGTGGAATTGTGTAGAATGGGTGAGGTTGAAGAGAAAAGCAAAGGTGAGCTGGTGGTGGAAATGATCGAAAAAGTAGCCATGGATCCTATTTCGCTCTGATACCAAATGAAGAAAAACAATGTATGAATGAATGAGCTCACTCAACGTGAGGAGCCAATGAGAGTAAAATCATTATATAATGATCAGGTTGTTACAATAGAAATCCACGTCATGGATTCCACACAGTTCTAGAGAATAAAGAAATAAAATATTAACAAATATATCAGAAATAAATAAACAACTTCACACACACACACACACACACATATCAGGCTTTTCTTATCCTTGTATTACTGGACCGTGGACCGTTCTTGTATCTTGTTTTGGGCTCAACTCTATCACATTTTCACATGCTCCATTATGTCTTGCGAGAAAAAAATATCACTCAATTATGCTCACCAAGTGGAGAAGAATATACTTGTGTAAATAATGTGTACTGTATAAATGTTTGAGATGATCTTGTGCTCCAATTTATATTTGCAACCTCTCGCCCGCCCTGATAGGATTCTTTCATGCATGCATTTTTCTTCTCTTTTTTTTGCCATGATCATCTTCCACGTATTTCTCTAGCTACTTACTAACTTCTACTTAGTTTAATTTCAGTTTGATTTGAATTTTCTTTTGGAAGACCTTTCCCGGACGCATCAGTTTGATCAATTCAACATATTGTGTGCTTACGTACGTTAATCCACAAATTTTCCGGAATGCTTATAGCTCCAAAAAAACTTTTGGGCAAACTGATTATATGTTTTAAAATTAAAAATTCATAACTCACATGTAAACTTTTAATTCTATTTTAGACAAGACTTAGGTACTTAGCCTTATATAATTAATGTACTTACATCCAATCAAATTAAAATAATTAAGTGTTAATGTGTTTAGAATAATAATAACAAGATTTTGTTGTAAAATAAATAATATATAAATGATCCAAATATCTTGATTAAATTAAAAACAAGATCCTTAAATATATAAAGTTAACTATATTAGTTTATCCTTTCAATTTTTTTTCAGAAGTAACTTTATTCATTAACTTACGTCAATTTTTAAATGATTAATTATTTACAATGCATATGTGTGATTGTTGCTTCTGGCCTGGCCAAGATAAAAATGTGGTTGTTGCTTGGTAACCAACCGACCAAACCGAATCAATGCTCATCGCTTAGTACGGGCACAATTTTTTTTTTTATTTTTTTTGGGATGAACGACACAAGTTTTGTTCTCATATATGTTTCAACCTAGGGCACTTTGAATGGCGACTCCACCATTTAGTCATGACTAGCAATAAAAATATTTGCCACACATGGCTAATTTATTATTTTATAAGAAAACTACAACTTGATACGTTGCATGTGAATTACTATACTATCTAGTTGCATGGATAATTCGGTCCTTTCCTCATTTGGGCAAGAAGGAAAATATGGAGCTTATTCTGGCCCACACAACTCTGCAGGTAAAGACAAATTTGAATAATTATATTCAAATTTGAAATATATTTTATGACACTTTGAAGTCTATATCCGTCTCTTGGTACGATGCACATTCGAAGAAAACGAGGTATAAATGCAAATACGTTCAAACCTACGAAAAAGAGTTTGATACGCCCTAGCTATTCTGTATCTGCCTGGGGCATTGACTTTTGGTTAATAATTTAATAACTAAGGCAACCAACTTTGTGCGGTGGCATATCTTGTTTACATCTTTTTGGCCCCAAAAAAAAAAAAAAAACCGTAGACACGCAAAAGGAGCATGAAAGTGCGTCTTAAATTTTAAGAAAAATTAATTAATTTTTTCATTGGCAAAAAATATGTAATTATAATTCCTTTATCTCACTCCTTCTTATTTTATTTATAAATTACTTTTAATATTTTTAATTTAAACCTTATTAACTTTAGAAATAATAGATCTTTCAGTCTCTCAAATTTACTTCAATTGTCAAGTTAGTCCTTCATGTTTAATTTTAATCATTTTGATCTCTTATGCTTTCTAAAATTATTATTTTAATTCTTTAAATTTTAAAAAATAAATTAACTCTCAAAATAATCTAATGTGAAAAATATATTAATAACTTGATATGTATATATAGCTAAATGAAAACAAATTAATCCTCAAATTAGTTTAATTTTTTTTTTGTCAATGTAATCCTTTAAACTATATTTTGTTCTCTTGTTTTTTAAAACTTCAAAGTCTTTTTCTGTTGCCTAAATAATTATATTTCTTTTTATTAATTTGCATGGTTGTTATCAAAATTTTGTAATCTATGTCAACAAATTTTAATAGCATTATCTTCTTTCTGAACAAAAAGGATCAAATTAATAATTAAAGTAAACTTAAAGGACTACATCAATAAAAATCAAACTTCAAGGACTACATTAATAATTGAGACAAACTGGAAAGACTAAAAGTTGTGTTATCCCTTAACTTTGTTTAGAAATTCAACAACTTTCTAATTTTATTCCAATTAAATGTACATACTTTAAAAATTAAATACTATGGTATTTGATAATCTTCTCAACATTTAATAAGAACAAAAGGACACAAATGAATAAAATAATCATTGAGGTATCTCTATAAATAGAACCAAAACAAATATTTTTCTCTATTTTATAAATAGGGCAATAGAGTATGTCGTATTCATAAAACTTCCATCTCAGAACGTTACAGGATTTTCAATATGTAAGTAAATTAATTGAAAACAATAATTTCAATTAAACTAATTCAAGATTCCAACTTATTTTTCAGGATTATTTATCGTTTACAAGTGAATAGGGACGTTTTGATTAATGATTTTTTTCCTTATTATAGTATCCATCCAGTTAATTTGCAACTTGCCTTGGTTTTACATACGTGGTCCCCCTTAAGCTTTCCCGGCCCAAAAACAAAACGACATGGGAGGACCATAGAACCAAGGGACATGGGATATGCTCCGCTGTTAGGAAAGACTAGTGGTTGAGTATATAAGCAAACCACCTAAGATAGAATCCTAAATTAAGCATTCCAGTTATGTTACTTGCATACAAGGATTCAGGAGAGTTGTCTTATTCTTCGTATATATAGTATGTATACGTTTTACACCACAATTTCTCAAACTATGTACTCTTGTCTCAATTTAACGAATTGATTGTTCGATCAGAAACTGACTTTTTTTGGAAGAAAAGTAGAGCTGATCGATAATTTACCAACGATAATGGTCGGAAATAAAGAAGGTGCGAAGAGTGTTGACGAGGGAATCTCCGGATAATTGATTAGTTGTGATACTAATAAAGTAAAAGATTATTCATGAATGTTAAGAAGATTAAAGGGAAAAGAATACTGTAATAACAAATTAAAGATAATGAAAATTAACCTTTCATTCATCAGTTCAACAAATGGCAATTAATCTTCTTGAAGCTGATTTATAAAGGAAAGGCAACCCAACCCCTTTGCAATTTGTCAACGAAAAATTAGCCTTTCATTCATCAATTCAACGATTTTTTTTTGAATAAGACGACCCAAAAAAAAAAGTCGTTTTTAATATAACTCACAGGAATTAATGAGATGTGTTTAAATTATAAGTAATCCAGCCTTTCCTTAGTTTTATTTAATAATAGATACCTCCTAGTAACCCAGCCTGTTTATTTTTGAAACCAATATGAATATCTCCTAGTATGAATAATAGTTTTAAAACACAAACATCCTTTCTATTTTTAAGATTTTATTTTTATTTTTATATAATTGTTATGTGATAGTTAAGTTACGTGCATTAGACCAAAACACCCCCTTTTTAAATATAAATATTTTTTTAAAAATCATTTAAATTACCCAAAAAATTAATGCATATATTCTTTATTTTTAGCAAAATGGAAGGAATCACTGTATTTTACTCTTAAACTATTGATGTTGTCTGAAAAAATTCTTAATTTATTCTAATTAAATGTATCATTTTTAAAATATTTTTTCTCTCTTGTATAATATTGTACTCTATTTATAGAAAATTGTAAGCTGGTAAAGTTGAAAGAAAATAATTAATTATCCTTTTTTTTCACATATAAGTGATTTATAAAAAATATCAATTCTTTTTATAAGATAATTTGTGTATCAGAAAGGGGAGCAGGCAAGTTTAATAAAGTACCACTAGAAATTAAACTTAATTTTCGTGGGGTTAATGTCAAAGATAAAATGTTATTTCTTTGTCACGTAAAAGATTAAAATAATTAACATTTGCTGATTTTTTATCTGATATCTTTTTTTTCTCTTCTTTGGCTGATGAGTTTAGTTGTTTTGGCATCTTAGTGTTTGTTGATATCGATTCTTTCGGGGTAAAAAAAGAAGAAGAGGAAGATGCGAGTGGCCTGGGGTTGCTATTTCTAGTAAAATGGTAAAGCACATGACTTGAGGATGACCAATAAGGTTTCCTCCTTTTTCCTTTTCTCTTCATTCTATGTTTGGTGATAATTTTTTCCGCCCAAAATACAAATATTTTTTAACAATAA